AGAAAAACTACTAGAGGAAAAGCATAGAACAGGTGGTCCAAGGAAGACAACAGTAGCTGATGACAGAAAAATCTGTGAGGAAAATCCCTAAAACAGCGGCAGAGACAAAGATAAGCCTGGATCAAAGTGAAGGAAAGGCAAAAGGATGGAGAAAGAGAGGAATTGCAAATGATCAGAAGGACACCACCTCATCTGTGAAGCATGGTAGAGGCAGTGTCATGGCTTGGGCAGGCATGGCTGCCTCAGGAACTAGTGTCAGCATAATAAAGAATAATGGCAGCAGCAGAATTAATTCTGAAGTGTACAGAGAAAATCTTGTCTGCCCAAAAATATGCCTCCAAACTCTGTCACTGGAAAAAAGACAAAGACCCAAAATATACTACACATTTAACTAAGGTGTTCATTTGGGAAGAAGAAGGGGAAACATTTGAACTGGCTAATTCAATCTCTTAATTTGAATCCTTTTGAGGGAGCAATTTACTTGTTGAAAAGAAAACCTCACAAGCAAGCAACAACTGAAAGCCGCTGCAGTTAAGGCTTTGCAAATCATCTCAAAAGAACGTCTTAAGAGTCTGTTAATGTCGATGACTTGCAGAACTGAAGCAGTCTCTGCATTTAAATTGAGATCCAATAACAGTTGTATAATAAGACCTTATTCAGAAAACCTGATTTTCAGGGTGGTTTACTGAAGATGAGTTCAACAAATCAGAATGTTTAAAAAATAGCTCAATTAGATCCTCAATAATGACAGGTTTATACTAGATGAAACCTAGTAAACACTAGTAAAACCTGTAGTAACACTGTCTAAAAATAAATGAAGAACATTATTATTTTAATTTCTGTACACAAGTAGTATGACTTAACTGTTCAAGCCAAGTCACCAAGCAAGATGCTCTAACAGACTGTACTGTTTCTTTTTAGAATCCGCTTAAAAGGAAATATAATATGGAATCACTTATCTAAAGAAATGAATAACGATATTAATTTAAGGATTTAAATATATGTATTTATATAGCTGGTAGTATAACTGTAATCCACTCTCTTTGTAAACACGTTTTATTTTTGACTCCTTCACACATGATTACTTTTGAAACAGTTTTAAGCTGTTCATCTCAGCTGTTTTTCCAAGCAGCCCGTTGGTACAGCGGGTTTGCCAATAGGGGTTCTGTCTAGGTGATCCGAGTTCAATACCTGCTTAGGGTACAAGTTTTTATTTATATATATATATTATAACATATTCAATGTTAAGTTATATTAATAATTAAATAAAAACGTGAATACTGTCAATTGTTCAACCGGTTTAATTCAAAACACTTTATTCAGTTGGGCAATTTAACAGACGCCTCAAGCCTTAAAACGAGATCGTATACATTGTAATTAGAATCAAGAATAAAAAATCGGAATTAAAAATACCACTGAAACTATAATATTGTGTCTGGTCATTATTAACAGTATTAATTTAATAATAATAACAATAATAATTTCAACCTTCTTGTATCTTTTTCAGAGTCATTTTTTTCTTTAGTTTTCATAAGTTTTGCTTATTAAAATGCCTATTTATGAGACAGGATGTTTCAGATGTCAATAACTTTGTGAACAAATGACACATAGCCTGAAACCTACAGGTTTAAAGATGGTGATTTTTGAAAAATTCACAGCTTTTATTTAAACAATATCTAGTACCTGGTTGCATTTTTAGAAACCTTAGTGCAAGTGACTTCATAACGTGAGAAGGCATTATGCTATATTTATTATGCATTAGTTGAAACCTTCTGAAGTCTCTCAAGAACATAAAAGTGTAACATAATATTATGTGGCATAATGGACAACTGATTCTTTTAATTTTAAAAAACGTAAGGTGTCTGCCTAAAATAGACATTGCATGATTTAAAAAACCCATTAAAAAATGGTTTAGTTAAAAACACTAAATCCACGAAAAACTGGGAATTTTCCTTGTGATAGGCTTAGAATCTTTGTGTAAGCTGTAAGTTTTTTTAAAAAAATTTTGTATACGCAACATGCATTTCTTACAGATAAAGTACAATCACATTCTCCTGTCTTCCCGTGGTGCGAAAATGAGCTCAGTCAGAGAAGAGGCAGCGCCGCAAGAAGAACGTTCTGCAAATTGCAGTGTTTATGGCACTGAGCATGTCTGCCTTTAAAACTTACAGACTATACATTTAATTAAAAAATTTCCAAGAAGAAATCCTTAAACACAAAACCATCACGTATAATAATTGATCCAGCTGGTTCCCTGTTGAATGACACTGACAGACCAGGTTCAATTCCAGGTGGTGTACTACATAGTACAGTTTAAACGTTTTTTTTTTAAATTCCAAGTTAAATTGTTGGCTGATTACTGGCTGCTGAAATTTGGATCGGACAAATATAGATTTTCTCAATTCGGATGTAAACCTGAAAGAGACACATCATGTTCACAATAAGCTATAATAGTGGACTATTTTTATGCATTCAGCTATATGAGAAACAATACAAAAGTAATATTCTGATCGCGCTTTGAACTGCCTGGGTGCAGCTAGTTACATTACAGTGCTCATTACCACTACAAGGACATTAGAAGTTTTTTTTTAAAGAAACGAATGTCAAAATGTTTCCAAACCATCTACTTGTGATACGTTTGCTGCTTAGTTACACGATTCCATATTCATAAAACTATCAAGTAATGTTAAATCACTACAACATTTATATTTTTACACTAACAGCAAGTGGTGTTCTTACTACATATTCTTCGTATTCTTAGAAAAAGATAAAACGTTATAACTTTTTATGAAGTACAGAATATAAGCTTAATAATGTTAGAACAATCATCTTAAAACCAGAACCCACTAAGTTTCCAAGTTAAAGACTTTGATGCATAAAATATTTATGCATGATTTAATTATTTATGATGGTGGAAAGTTGTGTACTTTTGTCCAATAGAGCAATCTTGCTTTTATAAAATATACCGACTTTTTAATGGTTAATGATTGACATGATGTAATACACAGTTTACATGTATTAAAAGTCTAAAGAGTATACAACTTAAATTCTTAATTGAAAACAGATTGTCCCTCAGCAGTGACCGGGATTCAAAACCAGGCATTTTCTGGCAACAGCTCAAATGCTGTACATGAGATGTTAAGCTTTATTAGCTCCACCTGGTGGTTTTGCTTCTGGATACTATTATCCTACTTCAATACAAAATGTGGCAGTATGCGGTATATTGTGCCACACCCACTGCATTTTAACACAGCGTACCTCGCTCATTTTGAATGGCTGGATCTTTAGATTAACATTTTCTGTTTTACACTGGATTTTTTCTTGAACTGTAAGACATCATCTTGTTCTTAGATTACTACATGTTATTCATCTGGATGTTTGAAAAATCCTTAATATACTCTGTCTCAGTGCTGGACATATGATGAAAATTTGTTTAAGCAGTTCTGAACTGATGAAGAGAACTAAGCAAAGTAGTCAAAGCTGTAAAATCCCTCTACCAGAAAAATGACCCAGTGAATTGCATCCTTTTATGTTTCTCTTTGCATTTCACTTTAATAAATGTCAGTGACAATCTTCTTTACTGAGACAAAACAACTTGGAAGACTGCCATTAAATCTGTTATCCTCTTGAAATCTGAGGAAACAGGCCTGAAATGCTCCAAGTATGCAGTATGAAGAAACTCTTTTTTAAGACTTCTCTTCAGCATAGGATAAACTCGAAAGCCTACATGAGGCACTGAATCCATATTTCTGACAACCTCAACCCAAGGTAGAAAAGAAAACAAAAACTAATCAGAGAGACAAAAATTCCTCTGTTATGCAAAACATTTCACTAGCCGTTAGAAAATCTAGATATATGCAAAATGTATCTTTCCTTGGGTTAACCTTATTAGTTAATTTTTTTAAAGACATTTTATCAACTGGAATTAATCCTGAAAAATGCAGCAATCTGTAAGAGGCTGTTAGCAGGATGGAGAGGAGCATTAAAGAGCCACAGTTTCACAAGCCCATTGTGCATGCCAATTAAATTTAGCAAAAGGTATAGGACTCAGGAGGAATCATTCCTCTCACCCTTTTTGTTTTCTTTAATAAGAAAAAAGGGTTTCTGCAAAGCAGCTTCAAAACCAGCACAAAATCCAGGATGTGTTACAACTCTACCACATGGAGGTAAGTTAACCAGGCACATCTACTTACAACAAGTATAACTGGTCTTGCCAGCTGAATAAAAAAGTTGGTTGCTAAATATTTTTTTACTCAAACTGTGACACCTCAGCACAATCTGCTTCCACACCATTTTGCACCTAAGCATGACTGCACATTCTAATTTCGTAGGGGGAAATAGTTTGGCTCTGTACTTTTCTTTCTTGTAAGAGCACCTTCGTAAACTCTCCTTACAAACTGAAAATCTGTTTTCTTAACAATTCATGCATTTAGAGATAATTAGAGATTCTGATTTTAATGAATCAACACCAACATACTTGGTAAAATATACTCTATTTATAGCTCACAGCCCTTCCTAAAATATACGCAGGTCTTGATTATTGAAGAATCTATGTATTGCTCTTTCAGGTAAGATCCCTTTCTGTTTTGTCTGGCAAACTTTCGCCACATGCTAACATTAAGATACATTTGTAAAATACAGATGATGTCAGAGAATATGGATCCTTTAAAGTTTTTTCTTCGCTTACAAACTTAGCATAAACAACAGATATGGTTTTGGGAAAGCAGGCTATTTTTTATTTTTTATCTATAGCAAGTTTGAACAGGAAACATGCCAGCTCAATATACAGTACCTGCAAAGCTGCATACTTTGGGTACATTTTGCTGTTGTATCAAAAGAAAATATTATAAATGTTACCATACAAATAAAAAAGGTTCAGAAGAACTCAAAAGATTCAAGACAGTTAAGATCTTACTCAGAATATGTTGCTTATTTAGCCATAATTCTTTCTTTTTTACCATACCTCTTCACACTATGAATCTAGCCAGCTGATTACTTACTACTTGTAGGTTTCTGAGCGAACATATTCAAAGACATGAGAGACTCCCAGCTGGAACTGGTCTGCGATGGGGGTGACCCATGGGTTGTTCTCTGCCTTGAACACCTGTTTGGGCCCTGTCAGATCCAGGTTACCTGCAATTATAATGAGACATTGAAGAAAGAATAAAGAACAGTTCTGAAAATATTCCGCTGTAGCTTGTGGCACTGCTTAAGCAGCTCTGGGTACTCATGGGGCTAATTAAATTGTTATAGATTACTAAGTGTTGAAAAATCTGTCAAGAAATATAAAAGAAAATTTAGGCCTGTACTGCACAGCTAATGTCATGCTTTGCAAATTATAATATTTATTCATTCAAACATTAACACTTTCTTTAAAGTGGTGGGTAACAGAAGAAACTTTGGTGAAGTGGTGAAGTTGATGTTAATGGTACAGTCCCTCCTGTCTACTAAGAGTCATGGAGCTGCAACCACAAAGAAATATAATAAATATTATGATTGCTTGCAATTAAAAGGTCAAACCATCAAGAGGTGCATCAATCACTAGAGACCATGCCTTACTGTCAAACAAGTAGGTGAGAATATAACAGTCAGACTGCATTCAGTGGGAATCATGGCATGCAACATTGACAGGTTAGGCGTAAGAAAGCCAACTGTGGCAAATGTTTACAAGTTTACAGCATAACAAGTGTGCAATCATTTGTGCTTAACCACATAACTGTAAGCCTGGCCAGGCAACTGTCAATTTCAACCTTTCATCTTCTATATTACAGTTTCTTATCCGACTCAACCTTTCCTACAGAGCTTTATTGTGTTGCTTCAACTGTTCCCAAAGACCTTCACACCACCTCCTAACGTTATAGCTGATAACTTTAAAAAGGGTGGATTCGTTGCTCACCAGACGACTTCAGTTTGGTAGAGAAACTTTAATGATATGGAGGGTTTGTTCTTATCAGGTTTCTGACAGAGGAAATCAATACAATTGTTTTAAAGGTTTTAAACTTTGTTTACTTCACAAAATGAATAGATACTTTCTAGTATAGATATTTTTTTATTTTTCTTGTGTCATTTTGCACAATAGTTATCCAGACACTCCTAACTCACCAGTCCCTGAAGGCCTTTGTTCTGAAGGCCAAACCAGATGAGGTAAAACGTACCCTAAATCTATTGATCTATTGATCCAGTTATGATAATTTAACACACTGAGGCACTCAAGTAATACTGTACAACAATCAGCTCAACTAATAAGATTTAGTTCCTGGGACCTTATATACATACAAAACCAACTCATTCTCTTGCCATAGTGTATTTTCAACACAGAATAGTTTAAGAACATATGAAAGGTTACTTAATAGTTAATAGTTAAAATATCCAAAGATTTCATCTAGCCATTTCTTGACAGAAAGGTATCAGATTCAATATGTCTGGGTAACTTGTTGCCATACTCAACCATTTGTGTAAAGAAGTGCTTTCTGTTCTAAGTTCTAAATGCACTTCCACTTGTGACATCTGATTTGTGTTTCACTTTTCATTCTAAAGAAATCCAATAGGTTGACTTGGTCATTGTCTTCGAGGATTTAAATACTTATATCAGGTTCCTCATCAGACGTCTTGGCTCAAGATTAAGTTCTTTCTGCCTGTCAGAGTAGGACATTAATTTAGGCCAAGAATGTATCTTTGTTTGCTATCCTCTGGACCGAGTCCGAGACAGCTATAATCTATAATGTGGTGACCAAGTTTGCATTGTGTGTTATTGTATAACAACATCCATTGATTTATTTTCTACACTTTTCCTTTTAATTTGTTTAACTATGAACTTCAGAATTATTTATATGGATGGAGTTTAAAAAAAGAGAGGGAGAGGAAGAAAAATCTTTAAAAAGCAGTTTATAGCCAGCTGTCTAGCACGCGCCTTTTGAAAAGGGACACTTCACCTTATGAAAAATACTATGCAGGGGCTGTCACAGAACTGGGAAAAACCACTGACAAGCTACTCTGGAATCAAGTCGATCAAGAAGTCCCAGCACCTCCAGCAGTACCCCGCTCTCTTCCCGTCAGCTCAATGAGGTGTGTTCTATTAAACAATGTGCTGAGGGTGTTTGACCTCTTGTGTCAGTCAGACAGCTATAGTCCTAACTGCCTTACGCTTCACTGCTCCTTGTTAGAAGTCTCCCACCCATCCCTGTCATTAGAGAGCTGAGCATTGCTGCTGTTCTAACAAGGATCATGCAGCTGGCAGGAGGATTAAATAACGTGACGAAGGGAACCTAACAAGCTAAAAGAACTGATGCTTCCAACTGCCGCTGATGGCTCTCTGGGCCCCAGCTGCTCCAGGCTTGGCTGCCAGGGAAAGGCTAGCGATGCAGCATGTGCTGCACATGCATTACAGTCACCCAAATGAGCAGAGGATGTGCCATTCTTCAGATTACTTTCCATCCCTTACCTGAGCCGCACGGTTGGTCCTTTCACAGAAGTCAAAGCAACAATTAAAGTGCAGTAACTGTCACAAACTGTAAAAATTATAATATAGCTGCATTATAGCTATTATTTCTTTATCATTCAATACAAATATCTATTAGACACATTGCCTTTTTCTATACTTTTTACTTCAGCAAAATTCAAAATAGGCAGCTGCTTATTATGTTTTAAAGGTACATATATATATTCAAGAAGACAGCTACATGAAAAACTGACTTTTCTGTGTGATATTACACAATTCACAAGTGCCACAACTTTGTGAAACCCATCTCCAGCAGATGTACACTAAACTCTGTTGCTATATGCTTCAGGGCTTGGAAGTTTTAGTTTCTTGGTTAACTCATATAAATAAATAAACTTTAAACACAAGAATACAGACAATGATGTTTCGAAAGCAATGTCTTGATGGAAATGCTGTCAAAAAGTGCTAAAACTCCAATGACTTTTCAAACAAGCTTTCTAGCATATACTGTACAGCTCAGCACAGGTGATTTCTTTTTTCCAGCACTGTGAAGAGATGGCCAAAGATCCCAGAGACATGATTTGATGTAGAAAAGCAGGGACAGCACAAGTCTCTAAGAGACAAGAAGTAAAGTGAAAAAAAGATCTGAACAGACAGCAGTAGAATCTGCATATGGCTCAGTTTTTGTCACACTGCAAAAATCAAACATAGGATAAGGAGTAAAAAAAGATAATTTGACCTCTGTTTTTTACATGGTTTTCCCTGTTTACTTAAACATAGGATCCAAAAGTACACTGGAACTATCGGTACAGTGATTCAATAGTGAAATAAATACATCATACATACAATACATGCTTCGAAAACAATCATTCAAGAATGCAAAAGCATCCACTCCTTAACCTTATCTACAGTGTCTGAAGAAAACTGATAAAAAAGCACAAAATATAATCACATTTAAAACACTCAACTGAGTGTGATTTATTGCTAAAGTTAGAATCAAAATGTAGCCTTTTCCATATGCAGTGGATCACCAAGCACCCTTTTTTAGACACAGTTTCTTGAAATTTTGTTACAGCTTTACAGTAGGTGACTAGGAAGTGTCTCAAAGGGTTTAAAGTGTGTGGCCTTCCAGCAGTCCAGAAACACACCATATAAGGTCGCATTAGGACTGCAGAAAAAAGGAGAGAGAAAAAGACAGTAAAGAGAGAGGAAGGAGGAGGACGAGAGGAGAGAAAAGACAAGAACAGAGAACAGGAAAGGAGAGACGAGAGGAGTCCAGAGGAGTTGGAACTTGAAGCTTGCACCAGGTAAGAGACTTCATGATGATCCAAACAAAACCTGACTGAAGCCCAGTATTTGAACCTTGCTAGAGAGAGCTTGGTCAAAGCTTACATCACCTCTTCACTGCCTGACACCCTAGACCCACTAAAATTTGTGTATTGTCAGAACAGGTCAACAGAGGATGCTATTGCCACTGCCCTCTCACACTTGGATAAGAAAGGAACATATGTGAGAATGCTGTATGTTGATTACAGCTCAGCATAGTGCTCATACCATAGTGTCCTCAAAGCTTGTCATCAAGCTCCAGGACCTGGGACTGAACACCTCCCTTTTTAATTGGATCCTGGACTTCTTGATGGAACATCCGCAGATGGTGAGGGTGGGAACCAACATATCTTCTACCCTGACTCTAAATACTGCTTAGCCCTGTCCTCCTTATCTACCCATGATTATGTCATCAGATATAACTCAAACTCTGTCATTAAGTTGGCAGATGATACAACAGTCATCAGCCTGATCACAGATGGTGAAGAGTCTGCGTACAGGGAGGAGGTTGAAACCCTGGCAGTATGGTGAACAACCTATCTCTGAACATCAGTAAGACTAATGATTGTGGATTATAGGAAACACCAGGAAGGAGATCACACACCTATTTATATCAATGGGACTTCAGTGAAGAGGGTGAGCAGTTTTAAGTTCCTGGGAGTTAACAGAGGACTTAACCTGGATCCAGCACACCAACATCGTGGTCAAAACAGCACAACAGTGCCTATTCTTTCTCCGCAGGCTAAAGAAATTTGGCATGCAATCACATATTCAGGCCAGCTTCTACAGGTGCACTACTGAGAGTGTCCTGACCTGCTGCATCACTGCCTGGTCCGCCCGGGATCCCAAAGTACTGCAGAGGGTGGTGAACTCAGCGCTGTTCTTTGCCGGCTGTGAGCTACCAAACATCCACGATATCTACTCAGATAGATGTCTTAAGAAGTCCAGGTCCATTCTCAAGGACCCCAGTCATCCCAGTCATAAACTGTTTTCTCTTCTACTGTCCGGTAAACGCTATCGAAGCATTCGGTCAAAGTCCAACAGACTACGGAACAGCTTCTACCTCCAGTCAATAAGACTGCTAAATAGCCAAGCTGCAGTTCCTTCAGCAAATCACCATAATGGCTACATGGACATACAGTTTCTATTGTATTCTGCATACTGCACTACTTGGACATACAGTG